AAGTAAATGTGGTAGCAAGTTAAAAAAAAAAAAAAAGAAAACATCTCAGAGAAGGTCGAAACTTTCACTGCAAGATGGCTCCTAAGCTAAGAGAAATTCAACATAAGGGATGAAACGAGGACAACCTTCAAGTCCTGAGAGACTGGCAGATTTCCAAATTCCCAATTTCAGTAAAAAGTCATAAGATACACCATGAAACAGGAAAATGTGACACATTCAAAGGTAAGTGACAGAAATTAGCCGTGAGAACAGCCAGGTATTGGACTTGCTAGACAGAGTATTAAAACTCTCCAGGGCCAAGAAAACACACCCTAAAATAAAAATGTAAAACGTGTATATTAACAAAATGAGACTATCAAAGCAGAAGTTATAAAAAGGATTCAAAAGATATCTGGAGTGAATAAAATCATCAAGAAAAGTGAAGAGATCTTAAAGGACTTATAAGAAACCATGAAGGCAAATATTATTAACATTATAGGATTCTCGAGAGCAGAGAAGACAAGGGAATTATCACACACAAAAGATGCTCATTATAAACTAATTTCTCAACAGAAATGTTTAAGCAAGAAGGCTATGAGGTTGACATATTTAAAGTGCTAAAAAAGTAACTGTTAACAAAAAATCTATATATACCAAAAGTGCCCTACAAAATTGAGGAAGAAATTAAGATATTTCTACATAAGCAAAAGATGACAATTCATTACCACTGAACCTATTGAAAGAACTTTCGTTAATGTCACAATATACCCCTAATGCAACAATAATTTAAAAAAAAAAAAAGAGGAAAAGAAAGAAAAATAATATGAAAAAAAGAAATGCTAAGATGAAGGACGGTAATAAGTGTACACAAGATGGAAACCAAAGACCACCACTAAAGTAATGTGTAAGAAATTCTAAAGTCCAAGATAACTAAAATTTTGACTTGTAATTCCATTTTTAATTTTCTACAGAATTTAAAAGATGAATGAATAATATTATGAAATCACATTAATGGGTACATGATATATAAACATGTAATTAGAGATATTAACAATGTAAAATGTAGTAGGGAGACAGAACTATATAGGAAGAGAAGCTTTAGCATGTCATTGAGTCATGGTGCTGCCAACACAAAAAGGATATTTTCACTTGTAGAATACTATATATAATCCACATGGTAACAAAAAACAAAGCACCTCCTAGAACATTCACAAGATAAGATGAGAAGGGAAGCAACATATGTCACAGCAACAAAATCCACTGAACACAAAAGCAAGTAGAAATGGAGGAAATGCAGGACAAAAATAATTTAAGACACTTAAGAAACACATCACAAAGTGGCTAAGGTAAGTACTTGTTCTCAGAAATCACACCCAGTATAATTGTATTAAATTCTGGAGAGAACACTTAAAATCATCACTAAGAAGACTAATAATCCAAGTAAAAACTGGGCCATCAGTCTCAATAGACATTTCACCAAGGAAGATACATAGACAGAAAATAAATACATGAAAAATACTCCACATCACATGTCACCATGGAAATGCAAATTTAAATGACATCACTATAAATCTGGTGGACTTACCAAAATTCAAACCTGTGACACCAGTAAACACTCTTGATCGTGTGTCACAATGGAACTCTTATTTATTGCTGGTGGAAATGTGACAAGTGACGCCACTGTGAAAGAGAATTTGGCAGCTTTTTTAGGAACATCTGTATACCCTTGCATATGACCCATCAATTGTGCTGCTTGATGTTTACTCAAAAGACTTAATACTTATGTCCATATAAAAAGCTGCAAATATATGTTTATATCAGCTTTATTCATACCTGTCCAAACTTGAAAGTAATCAAGATGTCCATATGTAAATAGGTGGATAAGTAAACTGTGGAACATCTCACATTGGAATATTAATGGGCACTAAAAATGAAAAGAGCTATCAGGCCATAAAAAGAAACTGAGGAAATGAAAATATACATTCCTGAGAATATAAGTCAATGTGAATGGCGGTATACTGTAAAATTCCAATATATATATCACTTTGGAAAATGAAAAATCCTATAGGAAATAGATCAGTGGCTGTCAGGATTTGGGGATGGAGGTGGGTGGATGAACAGAACATGGAGAGTTTTTAAAATGTTCCATGTAACATCATAATTAGAAAGTAAAAACCAGCGCAAACCTAATGTAAACTGTGGCCTTTGGATGATTATCCTGTGTCAACACAGGTTCACCAATGGTAAATGTGCCCATGTGTTGGGGAATGTTGCAGTGAGGAAGTTGGTGACATGAGAAATCTCTGCACCTTCCTCTGTTTTGTGTGGATGTTTTCATTGGGGTTTAGGTCATGGGATGGGAAATGTGCTCCTGGGTTATGCCCTTTGCCCCAGGGAATGCCCATTCTAATCCTTCAGGGATTTTTTATGGAACTTTTTTTTTGAGTGACTGGAATTTGAACTCAAGGCATCATGCTTGCACAGCAGGTGCTCTACTGCTTGAGCAGCACCTCCAGTTCATTATGCTGTGGTTATTTCAGAGATGGAGTCTCCAACACTATTTGACTGAGCTACCCTTGAAACTTGATCTTACTGATTTCAGCCTCCCAAGTTGCTAAGATTACAGACTGAATCACTGGCTGATAGCTTCTTTAAAACTTTTGTAAGGGAAGATCTCTCTCTGAATATTTCCCTTCCTTTCCTCCCTCCCCTCTTCCCTCCCTCCCTCCCTCCCTTCCTTCCTTCTCTCTTCCTTCTCTTTCTAACTTTCCGTTTTCAATACTGCAGATTGAACCTACAGCCTTATACATGGTAGACAAGCTTTCTACCTCTTGAGCCATAGCCCTAGTCCTTTTGTTTTTATTTTGTTTTTGAGACAGGGCATGAGATGGGCAATGTCACCTTTGGGTACATCCCTTACCCCAGAGAATGTCTATTCTAATCCTCTGAGGATGTTCTTTGGTCCTTTTTTTATTTTTTGAAGGGGGTTGACTGGAGTTTGAACTCAGGGCTTCATGCTCATAAAGCAGGTGCTCTATTGTTTGAGCAACACCTCCAGCCCATTTTGCTGTAGTTATTTTGGAGATGGGATCCTATGAATTATTTGACTGGACTGACCTCATAACTCAATCCTCCTGATCTCAGTCTTCCAAGTAGCTTGGATTATAGGCATGAGCTACTGGCATCCAACTGGAACTTTTCCTTAGTGCTTCTTTTGCTGGTAGCAGCCTCTTCAGGCCCACTGTTGACAAGACTCCTCCTTGGAAGAAAATTTTTCCTTTTTTGGGGGAACACTTCTACTGGCTGCCTCTTCAGGTTCACTAGCTGTCTCATCCATGGGTAAGGACTTCTTCCTTTTAGGAAGACCTAAAACTACTGTCAAACATTATCTTAAAAATTTAAAAATCATGAAAAAGATTGTGACGATCACCTACACAAAAAATCTTTTTGGTAACGAAATAGACAGCAATAAAAGAGGGAATTCACACATAGAATTCTTAAATAACAGAAGGGTCAAAGGAGAAAGCACAAGGATCAGCATGAGTTTGATCTCTATTGATTATTATATGCCAAATGGACATGACTGTCAGGTTTATCCTATTTATCTTATGTATTTTTTTCAGTTTAATGAGAACTGAGTTCATATCTGGGTGATTTTCACATCACCTTGAAATTCCCATGCTGGTGACAGAACTAGTGATATTATTTGTGTATTACTAGTATGGCATGACCACACAAAACTGTAGTTTATTTTTACTTACTACAATCCAGACATATTTAAGAGTTTAAATGGATAGATGTTCTCATTTAATTGGCAAAATTAGCTGAAGAAGGTGATAGCAATAATTTTAATTTTCAGATGTTCTCTGTGCATCTGACTAAGTGACTAAGTGGTATGTCTGAAATAACTAAGTGTCACAGCTCACAACTAAATGACCACTTTGGAAACTTCCTTATTAAAATCAAGGCTTTGAAGAACCAAAAAACAAAGGTCAAGTATTCACTATATGACACATACAGACAGTCACACAGTCTTCTAATATAAATCTCTATATAGTTTTCTCATTCTGAGAAAACTAAACCTAAAAAGAGTTCATGAAGTCACAATGGTGTGGACACTCATTTGTCATTTCAAGCTTACTTTCAAAATCTGTATCTTTCAACTGTCAAGCCAGGTGTGTCCTAAGTTTACAATAAGGAGGAATATAAAACTCCTTTATAAAATAACTTATTGTGAACCTGAAGAGTAAGTAGATTTATTTTAATAAGCTCTGAAACACAAAATAATTTATTGTGAAAGCACTAAACCATTAGGATAAAAATTCCTGGGGAAATACAAACTAAATTCAGTGCTAACTGAAGAATGAGCAAGTTAGCTAAATGACAAAGGAAGTCATTTGAAGTGAAAGTCTTCCTGTTGAAGGAAAAGGCTTTCAGTTAGGTCCAGTGAAGAGAAAATATGTAGCATTCTTGGGAAACTGCCTAAAATTTAAGATGGCTTGAATTCAAATTATGATAAAAGGAAGCAGGAAAATAACTTCAATTTTCAAAAATAGAATTCAACTGTGTGAATTCCATTACTTCTCAGCTATGTCATCCTGTTTAATTCTTTATGCATTCCTGTGAAAGCAGATTGTTGCATGTTTTTGCAGTGCTGGAGATTGAATCCAGAACCTTGTACATGACAGGCAAGCACTGTACCACTGAACCACATGCTCAATCCGATACCTTCTATAAGATACTGTGCCATGTATTCACTTATCTTGAGGGAGAAAGGGGGGAGCAGGAAGGGAGGGAGTACACACATGGAGTAGACTTAATTTTACTTATGAAAGGGATTTGTTTCTCCCATTTTTTAAAAAAAATTAAGGCTATAAACCAAACACTGTAATCCTAGCTACTCAGGAACTCAGAGATCTGGAGGATCATACTTCTAAGCCAGCCCCAGGCAAATAGTTTGTGAGACATTATCTCAAAAAATACCATCATAAAGATGGGCTGGTGGAATGGGTTCAAGGTGTAGGCCTTGAGTTCAAACCCCAGCACCACAAAAAAAAAAAAATTAAGGTTATATTTAGGAGGCAGAAATTGGTGACTAACTGGACATAAAAGGACTGGAAAAACCTACTTCAAAGCAGCCGTTAGAAGTGAATATATCAACTGACTGTTGGAAAAGTAATGTAAGATTCTTTAATTGGAACAGTTGATCAAAAGAAAGACATATAAAGTAAAACTCATAGAAATTATTTGTTCCTACTTGATCTCTGCCCATCATACTTGGGCCCTTTGGCCTTTGAAGACAGGGTGGATGGTGGAGATACTGAATGAGAGAAGAATACAACAGACAGTGAACCTGGTGGCATGGTTAAAGTGGTGAGTGTCTGCCTAGAAAGAGTAAAGTCCTGAGTTCAAACCCTACTACTGTTGGGGGCAGGGAGGAATGGCATTATTGTGATTCAAAAGTACACAGCCTTTGAAACAAAGCAAGGCCAAAAATGATTTAACTTTGCCCATATGTAGTAAGCAGAATAATGACCTTTGAAGGCATCCTCACCATCATCTCCCAAATATGTCAATATGTTATCTTACATAGGAAAAGAGACTTCACAGAGATGAAGAGATTGTTCTAGATTAACCAAGTAGTTTGATCTAATCATGGGGTTCCTTATAAGAGAAGGCAGGAGTACCATGATCAGAAAAATTTGAAGATGCTATACAGTTGGCTTTTAAGAAAGAACCAGTGGCCATACCCATATACAAGCAAGTGGCTTCTACAGACTGTGAATGCCAGGACACAGGTTCTGCCATAGACTTTCCAGAGAACATAACCCTATGTGCTGATTTTAGCCCAGGAAGATCCATTTTGAACCTGTGGCCTTCCTAACTATATAATAATTTATGCTGTATTTAAACTAATTGTCTAGTCCATTCAGGCTGCTGTAACAAAATATCATATGCTACGTAGTTTATAAACATTTCTCACATTCAGGAGACTCAAAGTCCATGAGCAGTGCAACAGCACACTTGGTGGCGTTTGATTTTTAGATGGCACCTTCTAGCTGTGTTCTCAAAGGTAGAAGGAACAACAAAGCTTCTGGGGACCACTTTTACAAAGGTTCCAATCCCAGTTATGAGTTTTCCCCTCATAACCTCCTGAAGGCCTCACCTTTCAACACCATCACTTTAGGGTTAGGATTTCAATATATGAATTTGAGGTGACACAAACACTCAGACCATAACACCATTGATTTGTGTTAATTTACTGTTATTGAAACTGTTACAAAATATTAATTAAACTTTCTCTATTTCAAGATCTATATGGATAATATCCTTGAAATGCCTGTTCTGAGAAATGAAATCTGTGATTCAGATAAAGATGTCAATTATTATTTCATATCTGCATCAGTAAATACTATGAAGCCATCATTTAAAGTCTTTTGGAGAAAGCCGTGATCTAGAAAATGACTGAAGCTTTTTCTTCAGATCCAGCATCTTCCCCACGTGCAGAACACTGATTGTTCTGATTGGCCATTGACTGGATTTATAAATACTGAGTATCAGCACTTCTTCAGAGAGAAGAGAAACAGTGTGCTTCGTCTCAGTAGACTGATGGAAATAGATGAAGCTCACTCAACAAAACCCCGTAAGTAGCCCAGCAAAGAAAGCACAGGAAATTACCCTCTTCAAGAAGCAAATACAGTGAGGCTGATGTGTCCATTGCGGGAGAAGAGTCCAGGGCCTCCTATTCTACCATTGTGACTCCCATTGTGACTCCAACAGTTTCTTTTAAACTGAAGATGCAATCACCACACAACCTTGCTATTCCATCCTCGGGCATTCATTGCACAGATACAATAGCTTATGTTTTCACAAAAACCTACACTTGAATGTTCATAGCAGCCTTACTTACAGTAGCAGACACCTGTTAACAAACAGATATTTTACAGTGGATGAATGATTAAGTACATTTTCGTTAACATACAATGAAGTACTACTCAGCGATGAAAAGCAAAGGACTATAGACATATGTAATTATTTATAGTGAAAAGTGTAATGTTATTTACAGTAATATTTCATCTCTATAACATTCTTCAAATGACAGTTTTTTTGGTTGAACTGTACTTTGAACAGAGGACTTTACACCAGCAAAGCAGGTGCTTTATTGCTTGACTCACACCTTCAGTCCACTTTACTCTGCTTATTTGGAAGATGAGGTATCTTGAACTAGTTGTCCAGTCTGACCTCAAACTGTGATCTTCCTGATCTCAGCCTCCTGAGTTGCTAGGATTACAGGTGTGAACCACTGGTGCCCTACAAAATAACAAAATTTTATGGGTGGGAAACTGGGTTAATGGATGGGTGAGGAGAAAAGGAATGGTGGTGTGAATATAAAAGAACCGAAGGATAAGTCCTTGTATTAACGAAACAGTTGCTTTTATAAGTTAATCATACATAGTTTAACCTATAAACTAAGCAAATAGTGCAGGCACAGAGTAAGGAAGACATTCCTTCATTCCAAAAGTATGTTTTGAGGTGTACTTGATTCACTGTGCTAGGGTACAGCAGTGAATTAGAAATAATGCCTGAAATATCAGTCTTGCCAAAAAGTTAGCAAGATCACATCTCAATGAATAAGCCAGGCACAATGGTACACACCTGTGATCCAGGAGGAGGAGCATAGTCCAAGGCTGTCCCCAGACAAAACCAAGATCCTATCTGAAAATAACTAAAACAAAAATGGACCAGGGCATGGCTCAAGTGGTAGAACACCTGCCTAGCAAGCATAGACCCTGAGTTAAAATCCTACTGCCACTCCCACACATAAAAACTACAATAGATTACAAATAGATTAAATGGCAAAAGCATTGTTAATGCTAAATGAAGTAGAAAAAGCTACTAAGCAAAATTCATTTCTTGAATGAACTATGCTTGCATATTTACATGATAACAAGAACAGAAAGCTCATTTTGTACAAATCATTATATCAAAAAATAGGCACATTGACAAAGCAGAAATGGATATCTACATATTCAATATAGGACAGATGGAAGTTCACCAGGGAAGAGACACACTGTAACTTATTATTTCGTCCTTTTTGGGACTCATCAGTACAGTGTAGCTGTTGGTATAAAAATTTCAAGTTTTGTTTTCAAAACTCAATACCATATAAAATATTGTGAAATTAGGTATCAAATGTTAAAGAGGTCACATAATTAACATCACTTGATGTGAAATATAAGCAATTTAAAATTCAATAAAGGGTAAAATTAAAATGACATTAGTTTATACATTTAATGTGTATTTAGTGGACTGACACTGAAAATGTGAACATGAGAATTGAAGGGTGATGTCCTCTGTCCAAGTTCCTAATGTACTAAATTACAGAGCATAAAATGAATGTTAGTTTCAGTACTTTTTAGATTTTCCTTTATTGATAATTGAATTTTGTAAAAGATTTTTGAATGTGTCAAAAAATTTCAAAGCTCTTGGACCAATTATGTATCTTTCTTGTTGATTGTTAAAATCACACGCATATTTTCAGTGGCTACCATTTTCTTACCACTGACTAGGTAGGAAAGTTTTATTTATCTATTTATTTCTAGTACTGGGGTTTGAACTGAAGGCCTACACCTTGAGCCACTCCACCAGCCATTTGTTTTGTGAAGGGTTTTGCCCAAGCTGGCTTCGAACCACGATTCTCCTGATCTCTGCCTTCTGAGTAGCTAGGATTACAGGCATGAGCCACCAGTGCCCATCTAGGTAAGAAAAGTTTTACATCAGATCACAGAAATGCAATTCAATGTCTTTGTTATAATATAACTCTTTAAGATAGTCTGCATATTTGCAAATAATTATGACTGCATTTTGGTAATTCACTTTGGGTTTTAGTAGTAATGGTATTTGAACTCAGGGCCTTGCACTCTACTTGAGTCTTGCCCCATTATGACTGCATTTTGATAAAAATTTAGGTAGCCAAAAAATCTACCACTGCAGCAACTGTATATAATGTTACAATGTGTCTCTCCCACCTGCTTCCTAAAAAGAATTTAATGTAATTTGGCATTCTTCCATATAGCTGCATGGCTTGCTGCAAATCCATTTCCTATCTGTGAAGATACCGGCACTGCTGATTCCATTCTCATTCAGGTAGGCACATTGTCCAGATCCTCTGATGGCAAACCTAACACCAAACACAAAATTATTAAGCATTTATAGTTTGAGTATATATTTGTTTTGTTCCATTATAATCTAAAGCACCTCCACTCCGTATTTTTATGCAAACAAGAAAGTTTTTTTTTATGTTCTCAAGGTCTTTGTTTGAATTTCACAAGTGTCTCATCCCTCACTACCAAGCCCATCCATGTTGTTGACAGGTATTTAGCTCATGCATGCTGACATATGCAAATAAGCTGCTGCTATCAGTGGCTAAAAACAAAGAAAATCTTACTAGTAAATTCCTAGAAAGTTTAGCTTTGACTGATGGAAGTGATTGGGTTCCTACATTTAATTTGCCAATGAAATGGTTATGTTCAAAATGTTCACAGTACAATCACTGTTGCTGGGTTGCTGTTGATGATAAAATTTTAAGAGTGATTCTTAAGGTTTTCCTGGAGACTTTGCTTTTGTAAACAGGTGCAGCAATGCCAAGAATGGACTTCAAAAGTGTTACAGATTCCAGTTCTTCAGGGGCTTCCTTGGGATTTCAGAACCCTCTCTATGCATCAGGTGTTCTGCCTACATTCTACATAAGAAACTTTTCTGCAAGGAAGTTTGAAGTCAGCAGAAGCAAGGGCAAAAACTAGGCCAGACCTCATCATTCATCATGCTAGATTTTGAGTGAAATCACAACTAAAGTTTTCCTAAGATACAGATAATCAATGGAAGAACATGAAAAGGATTTAATTTGGGGGTCCGGGGGTGGAATTTGCTAGGGATTGAATCAAGGGCCTCATGTATGCCAAGCACTCACTGTATCAGCTAGCTGCCCTACAGCCCAAGGTTCTATGTTTCTTATTTTCTAGTACAGGAAACTTTCTGTAATCTTACCTTTCTCATCTCAAAAACACAATTCACACACTTCACAACACATGGACATAAAAGAAAAAGAAGCCTGAAAACATACAAGGCATCGTATTCAGTGTTGTCTGCCCACTTCCAAGTGTGATGTCGTGAGTCTCTGTTGAGGCCAACCCAATGGTCAGAAGAGCCTTTGTATCTCTTCAGGAAATTCTGTTATCAAACATGGAAATTGGAAACATGAGTGTCTTTCTTTCAGATGGCGCTGGAGTCCGCTGTTCTATAGTCTTGTCTCTTGGGATGGCAGCATGGTTAACTGAGAAGCAGAGACTTTGGAGCTAGGGTAGTCCTCAATTCTCAGTGAAGTCATTTGATGGCTATGTTGCTAAAGTATTTTATTTTGAGTGATCCTATATACAAGATTATCCCAGTTCACGGCTGACATTCCAGCATACTATTAATATGCCTACTTTCAAGTGCAACATGTTACACATAATACATATACATATAATACATGTAATGATAACATAATTTGTATGACAAATTATATGGAAACAACACTAATCTTGTAGGTTGACTATCACAATTTCATGACAGAATGTGTCTAGTCTCACAGGATTCCAGGCAGAGAAGGTAATCTAAACAAGTGATACACCCTAGTATACATCTCACGCCTAAACTCTGCCTGGGATGGGATCCTTCGGCATATTTCAGCTTTCACCTTATACAGCCCCTACCTTAAGGGACTAAGTATTCAACTGAAAAAAAAATCCCAAACATTTCTTACCAATTCTTCCATGCTTGCAAACTGAGCAAGATTGGCTTCCAGTGAGGCACAGAAAGTCTGGCTGAATGTCCAATTCCTTGTGTCTTCAGAAAAATAGAAACACTTATGTCCAAATCCAATCCAGTTTCTTGGGCAGGAAGCATACATCCTGCTCTCTACGACAGGCTCTGTGTTTCTCACTAAAATTTAGACAATATAATCAATTGTAGAAAATAAACTTTTTTCATGTCTTTTTCTTTTTTCTGTTTGCCATCCTGCACTTAGCTTTTTGAGGTATGTATATGGATTTTGGCTTTCCTAATTCATCATTTAGAGTGCCATCCTGAACACAATAGTCCTCTGTCTTGCAGACTCCAAGCTGGGACCTCTTCCCCTTCCTTTCTGAGGTGCCCATGGACACAAGTGATTGTAAGGAGTTGCTTTACTATAGCACCAACTCCATAGGAATGGTTTACTGTATCCTTGAATCATATATGTTCTCTTTTTCCACATCATCCTTCATATTAGTTCTCCTTCCTCTTAATGAAAGAAAGAAAAACTCTTTCTTTACCCTGGATTTTACTGTGGTGAAAATTTAGGTGCAAAAACATGACACAATTCATAACACTGTTTTCAAAACCCAACCTACAATCTAGTACATTCTATAATTTTTTTTCACATAAACACACACACACACACATCATCATCATCATCATCATCTTTTGCACTGATTTCTATACAATTTCCCAAGTAGGTTTTCCTGGTGCTATCTTTGTCTCTGGACAATCTGTTCTCAACATTTTGCAGCAGTGATCTTCCTCCTAATTTTGTTCCTTCTTCCTCCTAATCTTTCCATTTACACTTGAAGTGAAAAACAAAGTTTTTAAATAACATGCAAGGCTATTACAGTATCTTTACCTCCCTCCATCCATAGGATATATGTTCCTAGTCCCCCAGTAGATGCTTGATACCACAGACACTGCCGTATATATGTATATAAATATGTGTGTATATGTGTATACACTCCATACCTTTCCCTATACATACAAATGATAAAGTTTCATTTTTTTACTTAAAAGATATACTTTATAGCTTCTCTGTAACATATCCAAATTGCCATCACACTGTATTTGTACTTTGGGACCATTGTTAAGTAAAATAAGGCTTAGTACTAAACAAACCCTACAGGGACATCACAACAGTCTATCTGATAACTGAGACAGCTACTGGGTTACTATGGACATGTAGTGTACACAGTGTGGGTACAATGGATAAAGAGATGATTCATATACCAAGCAACAGATGCAAGATTTAATCACACTAAGAAGTTATAAATTGCTTCCCTCTAGAATTTTAATATTCTATTAAATAATATTAACTTAATATTATTGAACTATGGTTGAACATTGGTAACTGAAATCGTGGATCATGGGAGATTGGTGCTCCTCCTAACATATTACTCTTTTCTACCCTCACTCTTTTTTAACTACAGCAGCCTCTTTGATGTCCTCAAACAATTCCTCCTAAGGGTTTTGCTCTCTTGTTCTCTCTCTGGAGGATTTCCCAGAGATAGATGGCTCCTTCATGTTCTTCAAGAAGTCACTGAAATGTCATCTTCCCCTGCTGGCTTACCATGGCCACCCTATGTAAACTGAAACCTGCTCCACCTCAACCCTTATTTGTCATTACCTGCATCTTCCTGCTAGAATGTATGTTCCCAGGGATTTTCTGTGTTTTATTTACTGACATGTCTCAAGCACTTCAAACTCAATAAGTATTTATAGAAAACATGAATGTGTCCAGAATACTGTGCAATTCTGATTGGTAAGTAACTTACCGAACAAAGCAACAGAAAGTCCAGTTACAAGCATAAGCAGGAAAGAAATGATGAAAACACTGCAATAAACTTTGGCAGGAGTTACAGGTGATACAAGTGCTAGAAATTTTCCTTGGAGATCTTTAGCTGCAAAATACAAATATCAGGGTGTCAATGTCATAAAATTCTTATGAAGGAAAAAATCCCTTGTACGCTACTACTGCAAATCACTTTCACAAAACTTCCTGGTCCATAAATTATATCCATGGCCCAGAGGTAGCTAGAGAGAAAGGAAACATACTTTCCCCCTTAGGGAATCTTTGAGTTATTGGGAGAAGAGTTAACAAAAGAGCAAGAAATAAAAAAAGGGAAAAAAACAGGATGAAGAAGACACATATAAATGATCAAATTTATCTCCCTAATAAGAGACCTGGCTAGAAGCACTGAGGGAAACATCAGAAAATAAATCAGTGCAATTCAACATATTAATAGAATAAGAGAAAGAAAATCATAGGAACACCTCAAATGCAGCAAATGCAAGCAAAAAGTTTAATGTGAATCTACAATAATAGCTCTGAACAAGTTACAGATTGAACTGGTTTCCTCAACCTGAGAAAATGCCTGTGTAAAAAATTAAATAGATATTGTAAAAAACATAGCCAGCCTCATTCTTAATGGTGAAAGAATGAATATTTCCCCCCAATGATCAGAGGCTAGGCTAGGTTGTCTGTTCAAATCCAATTTGGCATGTACTGGAGGTGCTGTCCAACAATAAGGCAAAAAAGGAGCTAACAATCAGTAACTTAGAAAGGTGTAATAGTATTTCTATTCCTGGACAACATAATCATTGCATATTAAATTCTAAGGTACTGACTAAAAAGTCTACTAGAATAACTCTACAGATACCAGTCTGCAGAATATAATACTAACATATAAAAATAATTATATTTTTAATATGCTAGCAATTATCAGATGGGAATTAATATACAAAACTTATAGTAACACCAAAAAATATAAAATGCTTAACTATAAATATATCAAATACATGATCACAATTTGTATGAGGAAAACTAGATGCAAAAGTCATAAAGAAATCAAAAAGATCTGAGTCAATATATTATATTGCTAGTGTATCAACTCTTTTTAAGCAAGTTCACAGATGCAGTGCAGGTTGGATAAATACTGAAGTGTGATTTTTGTTTGTAAAATCTCCAAGGCGATTTACAAATTATATGAAAAGGCAAAAAAAAGTAGAATAGTGAAAATGATTTTGAAAAAGAAAAGGCCAACTTTGGAGAAATTGTGCCATCTGATTCCATGACTTATATAATAACAGAAATAAAGACAATGTGATATTGGAGAAGGGTAGACATATACACCAAGGGGACAGAAATGTAAACATGTGGTCAAGAGACTTTGATATGAAATGAAGGACAGGAGGGTAAAGAAGGTCTTTTCTGGGGGTGGGCATCAGTCAGAGGCATGTGGGTGTAAGGAAAGGGTGAATGAATGTCAATAGCGTGAATGTATTTTGTATTCACATATGAAAATGGAAGAATGAAACCTGTTGAAATTGTATTAACGAGTGAGGAAGGCAGCTGAGGGAGAATGATGAAGGGGGAGAATCTAAGATATATTGTAAACAAGCATGAAAGTATCACACTGTACCCTCTATACAACTATTATATGCAAATTACAAAGAGGCATTTGATGGGGGTGGGCAGTGATCAGGTGGAGAAAGGGCAATACCTTTTCAACAAATGGTGATAAAATGTGAATGTCAACTAACACCTCATACTCTATAGAGAAACTGAAATTCACTCAAGCAAGAAGCTTAGAACTATAAAATATGTGATGAAAAAAGAAGTATCTTTGAGTATCTTTGAACTCATCTTAAGCAAAGACTCTTAGATAACTTAGATACCATACCAAAAGCATTACCTGTAAGAGAAAACTGATTAACTGTACATTAACATAATTAAAACATTTTGCTATGAAAACTTCCTGAAAAAGCAATAAAAGGTAAACAATAGATTGGGACTTTTTTTTTTTCATGATACGTATCATAAAGAATTTGTATCTAGAATGCTTTAAGAATTTCAAAAATTCAATGATACAAAAAAAGGGATTAAAAAATGAGCCAAAGATTTGAATATATGCTCCACTAAAGAAGGTAAATATTCAATAAATACAGATAAATACATACACAAATTATGTTCAATATTACATGGCATTTTAGAAAAATAAAAACATAATTAGCAATCATTATGTGGCAAATAAATCTTATGGAATTCTAAAGCCACAGGCTGGTGAGGAACCCAAGGAATTAAAGTTTTTATGCATTTTTTGGAATGGCAAATGGTACAGACAATTTGGAAAACTGCTTAGCATTTTGTTACAATAAAAATGCATTTACCTTATGTCATGGCCTAGGTATTTACCTAGGGGAAATGAAACCCTGTGTTTATATGAACACCTACCTGTTTGTGAGTATTTGTAGTTGCTTTATTGATTATTATAAAAAACAGAAAATTGTGCAACAATTCTAATAACCTTCAGTTGCTGATGAGCTAAACCAATACTACTCAGAATTAGGGGGGCAGGGGAGGAAAAACCCTGACCATGTGCTCCCACTTGTCATGTCCCACCCTGCTTTGACTGGCCACATTTTTGTCAGACTTCTGTTGCAAAAGCTCCTAAACTCTGGCTTTTTTTCATAATTAATACAGCACTGAGCAATAAAGTGCAGAAAAACAGCCTCTTTGTGGCTTATTTTGAGAACCTGATGATAAAAGAGCAACGGTTTTCCTGTTGAGAGAACTACCGTTGACACATGCTCTCTTTCCGTCACATCTGCCACCACAACTTCCTGCTAGTTTTTCTAAGCCACCTTATCAGACAAAAACATTTTTGGCTTGATTCTGAAAGACTTGATATTTTTTTAAATTAAAACATTATTCCTGTATCAACATTTTTTTTTAAAGAAAGTGTTTCCTAATCTAAGTGTGATGGTGTTTGGCAAACCATAGACACATTGCTCCACTATGAGAGAACCTCAAAAGCATGTAAGTAAGTGAAGAAACCCAGATTCCACAGGGATCGATTGCAGGATCCCATTTCTATGACATTCTGGAAAAGCAAAGGTATAAGGACAGAAAATTGGTCACTGGTTGCCAAGGGCTGGGGACAGAGGAAGGGAATGTCTACAAGGGGAATGGGAGAGCTTGGGTGGGGTATGGTGGTATTTCATAATTACATACATTTTTACAACTCCCAGAAATGTAAACCAAAAGAATGAATTTTACTGAATAAACCATACCTTTAAAAATGTTCCTGCTGACTTGCTCTCAGGCACCACATTTTGGTCATCTTACATATAACATATATAACATTTCATTTAACAAAAGATTTTCCAGGTCCACACGTTGTCACAATGACATTTTTCTATCCTTTTCTATAGCTGCATAGTATTCCATTGTGTGTGTGTGTGTGTGTGTGTGTGTGTGGTGTGTGTGTATGTGCAAATATATGAAAGTATATATATGAATATATGGGTATCTATATCACATTATCTTTACTTATCCATTGATGATAATTTACATTGATTTAACATAAAGTTAAAAAATTACATTTTTTTCATCCTTTTCTCTACCTGCATAGCATTCTATTACATGTATATATGAAAATATATATCATATTTTCTTTATCCACTTATCCATTCATGATAATTTGTGATTAAACATAAGGCTTTTCAGATCCACACATTGTCACAAATAACGTTTTCTCATCCTTTTCCATATCGTATAGCATTCCATTGTATGTATAAATGTAAGTATACATATGAATAGATATGTATATGTAGAGCACATTTTCTTCATTTATCAATTGATAATTTATGTTAATTCCTTACACTGGTCTATGGTGACTAATGCTACAAAACACATGGTAGTCCAGATGTCTCTCACTACATACTGAGGAGAGCAGAAGGGAGGAAGAAAGACAGGTTAATACAACCTTTCCTTTATACAATGTTACAGCTGCATAAGAGGAACAAATCCTAGTGTTTAAATTCACAGTAGGGTGAATATAGCCAACAATAACACATAGTGTATCTCAAAATCCCCTTTTTCAAAATTCCCTCAAAGAGGGGATTTTGAATGTATTCACCAACAAGAAATGTTCAAAGTTTAGGCGATGAATATGCTCATTATTGTGATTTTATTTTCCCAAAGCATAGAGGAATCAAAACATCCCACTGTATCTCATAAATGCATATAATTGCTCTGGGTCAATCACAAAAACAAAACAAAACTGGAGGATTTGGGGTGCACATTTCTGGTACCTGAAATGTCAGAATTGCATCCAACAGGACTCAGCAACAAAACTTTTCTACATGTTACTAAACAGTGCAAGATTCTTACTGTAACTGTTTGTATTTATACCAGCTGATATTCATATTTGGCATTAGCTTTTTATTTTTAATTGGTATGTGAGAATTGTAGATATTTATTTTTCTTCTACCTTTCTTATGTGTCTACTCTATCTCCCTCCAAATTCATATCCCTCTCATCATGGTGCACTTGGAACATAATCGCCTGTCCATTCTTAGTTAGAAAACACTAAATCTTCTCTGCTGAACAAGGAAATGCAACATACCTGGCCTCATTTTAACTTTGTTTCAGCTTTCTGAAAACTTGTTTAACTTGCAAAAGAACTTCTTGGTTTAGTAATCATAGACTTAACAAAACAGTTTTGTAACAAAGAGAGTGAACTACAAGCATTTTTCAAAATGCAGAAGACACAGTTCCTGTTCTAAAGCGGAAAGACCCAGGATGTTCTTCTTTTTCACATAAACTGAAATTGCCACAGGATTTGCAGCTGAAGGAGCTCAGCCTCTCACCCCCACCCCCACCTCCACCCCCAAATCCATAAAGGTCGTTTTAATGACAAAGAATATATAACAAACCCCGGCTTTTGCAGGCAACTTCTGATAGCAAGGGCATTACACCAAGATGGTAGCAACTGAGTGCCATCTTGCTGGGAGAGACTGTGTGTTAATTAACAGCACAATAAAATTTACAGGCACCTCAGGAAAAGGCAGGACTAAAAATAGAAACACAAAGAACATTTTGTCCCCAAGCTCTTGTAATCTACTTCACTGTCCATATCTCTTACCCAGAAATGTTTAAATAACACACCTTAAAACATTAACTCTTGTAACAAGCACAAATTTAACTCCTGCCCACCCTCATGTCCCCCAGATGGTCTTCATGGAGACTGTCAGGGAAGCACTGTTTATTATGCCCATAGCTCTGCTTCTCTTATGAGTCCCTGGAAAAACTCCCCACCCTTTAATTAAAAAAAAAAAAAAATTCATTACCAGGTGCTCTCTTCTTGGTGCCATCTAAGAAAGTAATATCTGGCTTTGGTATTTTCACTGAAAACTCTGGAGCAGACATCTTTCAGCGTTTTGGGTCTAACAGACACTATGGGATCCACAAGGAAATTCAAGCTGCAAGGAAATTGGAACACAGTCAAAGCATTGTGCAAACAGCTCTGTGAAGCATTAAGCTGTCTGTGACTGTGAATTAACTCCTCATGATCTGTTCCTAAGAGAAAAAGCAGTGCGAAATAGAAAGGGACCATGATGCTAAATTAAGTGCATTATAAGCATAATTAATGAAATTAAGAAATGCTCTGGAAATTTTAAAATGAAAGTGCATTTTAATTTAAGAAAAGGTCAACTTCACACAGTTCTGTCTCCTGCTGGGATGGAATAGTAAGGAGAAATTTGACTCTCCTGGAATCAAATAAGAACAGGATAAAACTATAATCAGATAGACTGGAGTTTTAGTCCCTTATAACACATATTAAGGAAGACCCAAAAAGATAGAACTCTTTTCAAATACTTTAATTGTGTTCCAGACACAATTTAAAAATGTCTAGAAGAATGCAAATACATTTATCAGCCAGTAAGGTAGAATTTGCAATGTGTGTAGTGCAATTAAGGTTTGCAAAGAAGTCAGAATGTTATGACCCAAGATGAGGAGAAAATCAATACACAGAAACAGATCCAGAGCTGGGCACGGGAATTCCCAGACACTGAGGAGACAGAGATTAGGAAGATAGCAGTCTGAAGCCAGATCAGGCAAAAAGATAGTTAAGACCACATCAAAAGCAAGCTGGGACCAGAAAAAAAAAAAAACAAGCTGTGTGGAGTGGCATGTGCCTGCAATTTCAGCTACACAGGAGACAGAGTTAAGAGGATTACAGTCAGAGGCTGACCTGAGCAAAAAAAAAAACCACATGAGACCCTATCTGAAAACAGAACCTAAAGGAAAAAGAACTAGAGATGCTGCCTGGAATTGCAGGGTCCCTAGTTCAAATCCTCATACGAAGGAAGGAAGGAAGGAAAGAGAGAGAGAGGCAAAGAGATGAGAAACAAAAAGAGATAGACATAGAGATCAGAGAGAGAGAGAGGGAGAAACAGCAGAGAGAGAAGGAGAGAGGGAGTAGGGCAGGGGAGAGAAGTGGAGAGAAGAGGAGGAGAAAGAAGTGGAGGGAGAGAAAGAGAGAGAGAGAGAAAGAGAGAGTTCTGGGTATAGCAGGAATGTTACAACTAGCAATTAAGGAATGTCCAGAACAACTGGTTACCAGTGTAAGAGAACTGGCCTGAGGGACCCAGAGACCAAAAAAAAGAGACCCACAGCTCAGGATGCACAGAGCACAGTCACTGGGACTTACAGAGAGGAACATGGTCCTGAGCAGCAGCACAGAGGAGTGGGTCCCTGAGATGGGAGGCCAAGGGTGAAACCCAGCCCTCCTCAGGGCACTTAGCAAGGTCCAGCTGATCCAAGAATCAGGCACATTCTGAGCTCAGAATCCAGTCAGTCCAGAAGCAGGACACACCCCCTTGCAATGACTTGGTCTACTGCCTTCTTCTTCTTATATATATTGAGCTGAGATACCGGGGGCGGGACCACACAGGCCCCAGGCTTCTGCAGAACGAATCTAGAATCTATGTCTGCATTCCTATGCCTTCCTGAAGTAACAAAAGGATTGAAACCAAAGCAGAAAGCTCTCCAGTCTTGCTGAGTGCCAGTGACTCATGGCTAAATTCCCAGCTGCTTGGGGGGCTACAATCTGGAGAACTGTGGTTTGAGGCCAAAAAACTGCAGTCTCAGGGCTGGGGGCATGACTACAGCTGTAGAGCAAGCATGGGGCCCTGAGTTCAAATTCTGACACCACCAAAATTAAAAAATTGTGATGGCTGAGACTAAAATTTTCATCAGAGAAGAGTAACAGCAAATTAGATTTTCAGAAGAAAAAAAAATCAATGAACTCATAGGCATAGAACTGTTTAGTATCATAATAAGTTATCACTGAATCTCTAAAATATTACTCACCTTGAGGAAAGCTACTATTATGAGTTTTTAGAATTATTTTAAATAATTAATTGTGGAGCTTCTAGCATTGGGGTATTCTGATAATACTTCATAATTCTGATAGCTGTTAGAAGGAGGTACATGAGTTAGAGGTAAATTAATACATATATCACTATAACTAGATTTCCTAACATATCCTTTGACCAGAAATCATACTGCAATATAACCCAAGGGAAATGAATACAGAAAGAAAGGTGAGCTGGGCACCAGTGGCTCACTCCTGTAATCCCAGCTACTTGGGAGGCTGGGATTGGGAGGATCGCAGTTTGAGGCCAGTCCTGGCAAATAGCTCAAAAGATCCCATCTCTAAAATAACCAGAACAAAATTGGCTTGAGCGGCTCAAGTGGTAGAGCACCTGTTTTGCAAGTGTGAAGCCCTGAGTTCAAACCCCAGTTTCACACCCTACCCCAGAAAAACAGAAACAAAGAAGAAAAAAAGGAGTTATGTATGAAAATTTCAATTGTATTATTATTTATAGTAATAAAATAGAAAGATACAATGTGACAGAGTATAGTAGAGAGAAGAAGACACAGCGTATGTAAAGAAATATACAGAACTTGAGAGAGAATTAAATTGCCCCCTCCCTCTCCCCCCATCCCCTCAATACCCGCCAGAAACTATTTTGCCCTTATCTCCAATTTTGTTGAAGAGAGAATATAAGCAATAATAGGAAGGACCAAGGGTTTTTGCTAGTTGAGATAAGGATAGCTATACAGGGAGTTGACTCACATTAATTTCCTGTGCGTGGGTGTTACCTTCTAGGTTAATTCTTTTTGATCTAACCTTTTCTCTAGTTCCTGGTCCCCTTTTCCTATTGGCCTCAGTTGCTTTTAAGGTATCTGCTTTAGTTTCTCTGTGTTAAGGGCAATAAATGCTAGCTAATTTTTTAGGTGTCTTACCTATCTTCACCCCTCCCTTGTGTGCTCTCGCTTTTATCATGTGCTCAAAGTCCAATCCCCTTGTTGTGTTTGCCCTTGATCTAATGTCTGCATATGAAGGAGAACATACGATTTTTGGTCTTTTGGGCCAGGCTAACATCACTCAGAATGATGTTCTCCAGTTCTATGCATTTACCAGCGAATGATAACATTTCATTCTTCTTCATGGCTGCATAAAATTCCATTGTGCTACCGACTCTTCTTACACACATATGCTGTACTTCAAACTTATTAACCCTGACCTCCTCCATCTACTGGTCCCCCCTGCAGCCTCCACTCCACATTCATGCACTATTATCATTATTATTACTTTAGGTTTGGATTCTGCATATGAAAGCAAACATGCCATTATTTGTCCTGTTGAGTTTGCCTTATCTCATACAATGTGTTCCATCCATGTTCCTGCAAAGGACGTAATGTCATTCTTTATAGCCGTGTAGTACTCCTCTGTGGGTATATGCCACACTTTTGTTATCCATTCATCAGTCATTAGGTGCCTATGCTGATTCCATAGGTTGGCTATTGTGACTAATGCTGCAATAAACATGGATGTGCAGATGTCACCACTGACAGCATGAGTATTTCTCGAGGCCACAGTTTTGACAGGTTTCCACCTGAAGGGAGATAAACTGCATAAACCCTGCAGGTTCACTTGCTCTTGATTGACTTAGCAATCACTAATTTTGGAGACCACACAGCTGGGAAATGCATTGTCAGTGACCCAGCAGCCTTGCTGTATGTGACACCTCTGACATGTAGGTCTTAACAACTGTGCCCTACCTTACTTTTCAGGGACTGAAACACTGACTCTGGACAGGGCCTGCAGATCTGACAAACCAGCTGAAAAGGCATGGTGTCTCTGCCTTTGTGTTGTGGCCTGTGACAGTCTAACATGGCTGTGCTTGTCCAGTCTCTCATCCTAATCAGGTTAAAGACATGGGAACTGCCAGGACTGGAGACCTCAGATCCCAGAGGAATCAGATCCCAAGTCCAGTAAAGTCTCTGACTTTTCCCAGAAAAGGCTGGGCCTTGCTTGGCTCTCTCCCACATCCTCTGTCTGTAACTTCTCAAGTTCCCATTTCTGAACAAAGTTTCTGTTTGCCCAGTGTTGGCTGCTGAATGCAGCTTTTGCTTCTGCCTTCACTCTAGCTCTGAGTCATGGGTCTTATCAGGGGGTTTCTGAAGTTGGCCTTATCAAGGGGTCTCAGAAGTGTCTGTTATCCTGATGACAGCAAGGGAAAGCAGTTGGGGCCTGGTGTGGGGTGAGTTGTTGGCCCTGAAGCAGGCCACTAAGATAACCTGTTTCTTTCCCTTTAACCCAGAGATCAAGGGCTCCTAGCCCTGGTAATTCCCCACTTTGACCCCTAAAAGTGCCACTCATTGCAAAGAGGGTGAATCAGGGGCCATGACATCTGGGGGAAACACCAGATAGATTTTTCCCACAGGCCAGAAACTCACCCACTGGAAGCCCCTGGAGAATACATACTGGGCCAGTCCCTAAGAAGTTGCTTTCTTTGGGATTTTAGGCTCACTTTATCCCAACCAGGATACTGGGAAAAGAAAAGTATGTGGGGGGAGGCGGGATGGACTGCCAAAGATCTGGTAGCATTGCTCCAACTCTTCCTCAAGCCAGCTGGCCTTAGACCTCCATCCACCTCCCTGTCCCACATCTGAGAACCCCTCCTGGGCCTCACCCTAGGGGTCCCAGTGAGGCCCAGCCTTTCCCACCCCCACCCCCAGCACTGAGTTTCTGTTTCTCTTTCCTTAAGTTTTGATTCTTGGAGTTTCTGTTCTCTGGGGAGCCATGAAAACAGGAAGGCAGGGTCACTGTGTGATAATGGAACATCCTGCCCATATCTGCTTTTTCCTCCTAAGCCCAAATATCCCTGTAGGAAGTCCTCTTTTCCCTGAGAAAGAGCCTGGGGGAGTCAGGGGCATGGGGCAGGCAAGGGAAGTAGGGGAGGAGGAAAGATGGGCAGATGGAGCACAGGGGACTTTCAGACAGGGTGCTATTCTGCTTATATGGTAACAGTCCAGCTCAACACCCTGAGGGAGCCGAAATGTTGTGGGAAATTACAAACTGAGATAAGGGAAACTGGGGCAGTTTAGCATGAAGCAGCAATTTATTGTGCTGACACAGACCCAGAGTACTTGTGTCCAAAGGCTGAGCCTGAAGAACAAAGCGGTCTCACATTACATATCCTTATAAGTAGGTTACAAAAGCAAAAAGCAAGATCTAATCCATATATGGTTATGTTCAATTCTATAGGCTATGTTACCCTAGTGCTAGGTAACTTTTCCCCCTACCCTGTGTTACATGACCCTCTCCACATTCAGATTTCTCAGGTTTTATCTCTCTGCTATGCTATCCCTACCTCCCAGCTACTTTATCGGGACTCAGGCCTAGTCTGTTTTCTTCTGGTCCTTCCTACCTGCTACATTATTTCCCCCTTTGATGTTCGGACCCACCTAGGGTCAAAGAGCATCATCTTAATCTAGGGGTTTGTATTTCCATAGCATCATTATATGCGTGGCCATTTTCCTTTCTATAATGGCCTCCATAATAGTCCTGATAGACCTCAATACCAGGGGAACCAGGCAGGGCAGTATTAAGCATCTTCCTGGGATTAGGCCTATTGCCCCTGTCAAAGTTTTGAATCCACCTAAGGCAGAAAACCACCCTCCAAACTGGTCATTGAGTTCCCATCTTTTCCAAGTCTGGACAGAGACAGGGGCAAGCTTCTATGCCCTTTCCTTCATCATCAATCCATAAGCAGCTGTTGCTCAGGTTAAATTTTCCACAAACTCCTCCCTCAGAAGCCAGCAAATAGTCTAAAACCAAGCAGTTCTGATAGATAGCATTGCACATCTTAGTGCTTTGTTTTGTCAGCAAATTGAGAGCTCTTGCAGCTTCATTAGTTATAATTTTAACAACAGCCTACAGCCTGATGATGCATTTGAGCATATATATAGGGGTGCGATAGCCCCAGGACTCATCTTCTGTCCAGGTGGCAGGACCATAGTACTGGATGATTTGCTTGGGAGACCATGCATCATCTTTCCAATTGCCAATTTATAAGGCACTCCATTTTTGTCTACTTAATCTTTCTTCATATATGGGGACTCCCAGTTTTTACCTTGTCTAAGGGGAAGCAAGAAGGATGGTCTTATTGAGCCTAGCACACAAGACCCAAACCAGCTTCTAGGTAGCACCATATAAACTTGCCTCCCACAGATCTAATACAGCTCCCTGCAAGCCCACCAATCTACATTTGCAGTAAGATTGTCCCACCTGCCAACTTTTGTAATCTCCAGAAAGTGTGGGGCTGGGGTTCTGTGTGATTTGAAGCTCCCCACCATTGGGTCTCTTGGCTAGTGTCATTGTAAAACTTCTGTCCTGAACAAGTTAAATCCCCCTCCCCAGGTGGAGAATTGGCCTTCTGGGTGGGAGATACAATAATTTCCTATGATGGAAGTTTTTAGGAGCCAGATGTCTTTCCTGTGTTTTGGGAAAGCAGTCTCATTT